AATTATGCTTCGCGAATCAAAGTCGCGTTTTGCGGATCGAAGTCGCGTTTTACGGATCAAAGTCGCGTTTTGCGGATCAAAGTCGCGTTTTACGGATCAAAGTCGCGCTTTGCGGATCAAAGTCGCGTTTTACGGATAAAAAATATCGAGAGACTCTCGACACGGAGGATCGATTTTGTCTCGACTGCTCTAGGACCTCGATCCTGGCCAATGGCCCTGGCTTTCGCCGCCACTCCGGATTATTCAATTAAAACGAAACTCCAGCCGAATTCATAAAATGTGATAATTAAAAGTATCGATTATCGAAGAATTGACCGGTGACCCGGCGGGCCGCCATGGGAGGGCCGCTCGTACATCCTACATCCGTTCATTAGGTAATGAACTTATTAAATCGCGGAGGCGCGGCGCACCGTGTTACACCTACGCCGTTTATACCCTCCGCTTAATTACCCCCGAAAAGATTTACCGTAATCGGGCCCTACAATGGGGGACCGATCGCGATTACCCTCCACCTTTCCGGCGCCTTGCTTCAAAATTGCCTTCGGAGGTTAATTTACATCCCTTAAATAAATTAATTCACATGGGTAGCTCCGATGCAGGGATGCACCCGATATGCCAGACCTCGAGGAGGACCCTGATGAACCGATGGGTAATTTTTAAAAAATTGTTATTCCAAGGATATGATTATGAAGTATTATATTTTATCGGGGATGCTTGAGTCATCGGAATCCGTTAATTGGGGTGATTTCCGCCCCGGTTAAGCAAATTAATTCCCATGGGCATCTTTGATGCAGGGACACACTCGATATGCCAGACCTCGATGAGGACCCTGATGAACCGATGGATAATTTAAAAAAAATTGTCATTCCAAGGATATGATTATCAGGTATTATCTTTTATCAGGGATGCTCGAGTCATCGGAATCCGTTAATTGGGGTGATTTCCGTGCCGGTTTCGGGGTTCCTCCCGAAAGAGGGTGCGATTATGTCTCGGAGAATCGTCGATGCTCTCTTTCCCCGTTTCTTTAGCCTACTCCGGGCGTCGCGGCGAGGAGGACGCGCCGCGGCGCCCTCCGCTCCTTCTCGAGGCTCCTTAACCACTCGGGCGACCCTCGCGACATTTTTAGTGCCCATCAAAAACCAGCGCCGGCTTAATTATGAGGGCAGACCCGGGAAGATCGTAGACCGAGCTTCCTCCTCTCCCCCTCTCCCTTTCTCTCTCTCCCGTTCCCTTCGCCGGAAACCTCGGAATCCCGACGACTACATTACCGCCGAATCGATGCTCCGAGGGTTTACCTCTCAACCTAGTCGAGGTGGCTCCACCCTTTCCGACCTTGCTTCTTGAACCGACCTCTGGAGAAGGCACGACTCGACGCCCATAATTACAGAGGTGAGAAGGGGTGATCTTCCATCTTCGATTTTCGACTCCTGGAAGAACTTGGGGTCCGGTTTCGGCGCTCCCCTGGGATAAATCCTCGTTTAACCCTCTGAATACCGAACCCTTTCGACATATGGTCGAAATTCCTGAAAGCGTGCACGCGATATTAGACCAAACGTCGGACGCCTTTAGACGCTCTTAATGGCCAGAGGGTTAAGGTGACACGAAAGGATCATTTAATATATAAAACGTCGAAATATATATGATTTACAACTTTAACACGTGATAATGGAGGTCCTAAGGAAAAACGTAGGGCTCATGAAAATTCATTGAAGGTTAACCACGTTCTTCCTCAGGGCCTCCATAATTGCGTGTTAGAGTTTAAAGTGATTCTGTGTACGCAGGTTGGAGAAAAGTTCATAAAATATTTTGACGGTTCGTTTGTATAGAATATGTAAAATATATAGAATGATATATAGAAGAATTTCATATCACCTTAAGGTGCCAGGTTATGTTATCACCTGAGTATTCGTAATGTCGTTACCACCGATAAGGGTACGGATGAATTTCAAGTAATCGACGTCGATTAAATGTCTCAGCGCCTTTCATATCACCTTAACGCCTCCGAAGGAGTCTCCTCGAAAGGGTGGAGGGATCTAGAGATTCCGATGTGTGAGTGCCGAAATGAAAATGATTTACTTGGGGATGTTCCCTTCCAGGGGCGGAGGAGATGGGCAGGGTCGGGGGAGGTCCTGTTAAGGAGGAGATTAGACACGTCCGTCGGATCGACGACGGGTGACAAGGTCGAGAGACAAACGACATCCACCTGGTGTCAAGGGTTATCTCCCCTCTTGCTCCCCAGCGAGGAAAGTAACTCCTCCTTTCCAAAAAAAAAAAAAAGAAAAAACGACGGGGGTTGAAATTCGAAAGGGACGACCCCCTAAATTTAAATATGCAAACCCATCGCGTAGAAGGCACCCCCGAAAATATGCAGGGGTGGCCCAGGATTATTCGCGGATGCGAAACCGTATGCCTTCCACTTTCGCCGTCGGTTTCGCGCCCCCCGCGGAACCACCCCGGGGGCGGCCCCGGGGGGGTAGATATGCGTATTGCGGAGAAAATGGCTTAGTTTCGCCGGCGCTTCGGCGAAATTAGATTTCGTTCGAGGAGGATGTTCCGAATGTTCCCCCGGTCCCGAGGAGCCTTCGCCCCGGGCCAGGGCGCCCTCCCTTTATCTCTCGGCGCTCTCCACGCCGGGATTTCCGTATCCCGCGGGACGCCCGACGTCGCGACGCCTCGCGTCGGTATGCATATTTCACTGATTTTTATGGAATTCCGGCTGGGATTTCGTACCGCCTTCCTGGCTTCCTGGCTTCCTGCCTTCCTGGATACCGCGGCGAGATTTCGAGACGGAATTTCTCCTATTAACCCCGGTGCCGGGGGGTCTCCTCCACCCTACCAACCCCTCGCGTTCTCGTTCTCCCCGATATATCGCTGTATCGCGACACCCGACTGCGTTTCGTGCCCCTCTCGAAGACTCGAACGCCGGTATTGAGACGATTAAACCCCCGGATCCGGAACCACCCCCGGGACCCTGGGATGCGTGAGTTAGCTGTGGGGGGTGCATACATCCCCTGCACGTGCGAACGCATAAAGTCTTGCCTACACCGAATTGATATCCTGGGTATCGAACGCCACCGGGGTGGTATTCCTCGAGGGGGTGGCGCACCCCCGGTGACCGCGCCTCGCGATCTCTCGTGAGATCCTCCGGGGAACGAATTACCGAGCCAAGAGGGGCAGGGAATAGAAGGGAGATCATTAAAAAGTGACAGATCGACGAGCAGAAGGGGACAGGGGTGCGCTGAGGGGGGGACCCCGGGAATAAATTACACCAGCAGGGGTCTAACGGGGAGGAAAGCATTGCGTTACATGTGTCGAAGTCAAGCTCGCGAACCCTCGAATGGAGCATAGAGGAGGCACGCATGGCCCTAGGTGTGTGCAAGGGAAAAAAGGGGTGAATGCAGTTCCGACCGCCCCTGCGAAATTAGGGAGGTCCAGAGCAAGGGTCCCTAAAGGAAAGGGGTGAAAATTTCGTGTCCTTATATTTTTCCCTCGTGTTCGAGAGTCGCGGAACTCCCATCCTGGTGAGACCCTGGGAGGCTGTTTTATGCTCAGACGTAGTCAGGATCTGACGCACTCCCGGTAACTACCTGGAGGAACGGGGCACGTAATTCGCCCCAGGTGACCAGAGGGTTACGATCCTTCCACTAGCCGGATAGTCGCATCTTGTGCGAGGTTCCGTTCCCCGGAAACGACGACGCGCCTCTCGAGGACACTAGTCGAGCTGGGGGCTCGATATGGAAATGGAGCACTTCCGGCCTCCTGGGGTCGCGAGGGGAAAAGTCTCCGCGGGTAAGGGGTCGGATTGCCCGTCCTCTGCTCTCTAATTTTCCTATTGACACTTTTTAAGCCCCCTTCCCGGGTTCTTTAGGCCCCTGATTGGCGGAATCTCGGCGGGGACGGGAATCGGGCCGTAAAGAGGAACTTTTCGAATTTCCGCGTCATGCGGTAACGCCATGACTGGAATTTCGCGGGCCTACGACGCCGTAAGCCCGTCCCGGCAAGCCCTGCCCCCCCAATTAGGGACTTCGGAAGAAGTTTCCGCGAAAACGAGGGGAAAAGTGGAGAGGCGCGAACGCTCGCCGGGTGGGAAGTGGGTGGTGGGTGGGAAGTGGGAGGGAGCTTTCGCCGCGCACCGAGGACCCGATTCTCTTTATGGCTTTCGACGTGCGAACCTTCCCATACACGAGGCGCAAGATCGCGGCCAAAGCAGGTTACGCACACCTGTGCGTACCGTGGAGGTGCGTGCCTCTTAACGAGCAGAGTAGTCGGCTCGGCTCTCGGAAGAGGCGAAAACACGAGAGCGTTCCTATGGAGGGGCGCACGTGGGATAGCTCGCGCAGTTGCGGAGGAAACTTGTCGGTGTCCCCGCAGACCCACTGCGGTCTTTCATTTACATAACCGTAATCCTAGGACTGAATAAGTGCCTTCTAATTGCGCGCTTTCGCTTAGGCGCCGTTTCAAATTCCTAAAGGCGACTCGGGCATCAGATCCTAGAAGGGTGGCAAATCTTCCCGCCGACAAACAGTGATTAATTATAAAGATCACCCGAAATCGCGGGGAAAGTAATTTCATGAGAACACACACACCACACACTATTCGGTGAAGCGATGCCATCACGTCCCAAAGTGAGAAGCTCCACTTCGGTCCTTTCCAAACTCGGCTCGACGGAGAAGAAAATTTCTACCTACCCGTCCGAGCCTTCCCTCGTGATTACGCAGAGCTCTCTTAATTAGAAGAGGCGTAATGCCTAATTACCGGTAGCAGAGAAGCGTCCGGTTACAAAAAAGGTTCGCCGAGCGCACCAGAACCGGCGACCTGATTCTTGGATTACGCTACCTACGAATCTTCCCATCATTGTCACTTCGCGCTGTCTGAAACGAGGGGGCAAAAAATGGCACGCGTCAGGTACGAAGTAAGACTTGTATATTTACACGGTGAGTACGATACATATATATATTCATACACGCGTACCCCTGGCTGTGCGTAGAGTACGGTAGATTTAGTACCTCTCCCGAGGGCGCGAATCTCGCGGGTCCACAAACCCGCTGGTGTGCGGAATCACGGATCCACACCCTCGCTGGTGTGTGGAATCGCGGATCCACAAACCCGCTGGGGGTGCGGATTCGCGGATATTACGCGAGAAATAAATAAAGTCTCGGCCCGACGGAGATGGGGCGACCGGAAGTGGTCGTGAACGCGGTAACCGGTGCACACGGTAGCCGGATCCAAGAGCAGGACCGGCAAATCGGGCCCTGGCCACTTTCCTCTTCGTGATCCCACCACGGCACTTCGAGGCGCGCTCGCGAAATGTCGCGTAACCCAATGACCCACTTGCGAGCGCGCTCTCTTGCCGGCAGGATCAGGGACCGGCGAAAGTCCGCAATCTGTGACTCTCCATTGGTCCAAGGAGCGATCGGGGTCAGGATCACGGCCTCCTTCAATCTTGATCTTGATCTCGAAAGGTGATCGGTAGCGTTCCCTGGGGACGTCTCGTAGGTACGCCCACCAGCCAGGATGGCCACCAGCCATTTGCTGTTGTCTATGAAGTTGTTAGTTAGGGGTCTTCAAGGTTGATGAGTCTCCGAGGATAGCTCTCGGGCTGAGGATTGATGCATGGGTCGGATACGTGTACCCCTTCATGCAGGTTTGTTATCAGGCTGGTGGTTGTTCTTGGAGGGCTCCGATCTATGGACGCTTTTGTGGTGGTCCCTATTGTCGAAGAACAGCGCCATGCGTTCCATGATGTCCTTGGTCTCGTTGCTGGAGAATTGGTCGGTGGGACTGGTCTTCTCGGGTTTTGAGATGGATGGGCTCTGGATGGATGCCGAGCCGGAGAGGTCTGGACCGTATAGAGCATTTGTGGAGATGGGCTGGAGGGAGCCTGCTCGTTGTGGCTGCTCGATGGCTGCCAGGATGTCCTGGAGCAGGCCATCGGACAGGAGTTGCTCGTGCCGGATGGAGCCGTCGGAGTTCTCGGTCCCGAAGCCTCCGTCGGCTGCCTGGATCTGGAGGGTGTAGATGCCCTTGGAACCCTGGATCTGGAACCCATCGTTGGCTTCGTGGTTATGGTTTTGCGTCAAAGGCAGAGCTTGAGGTGCCGGGGCCGTCTCAGCAGCTTCGTGGAGTGAATTCCTGGAGAAAGCCTGCTCGGTCAAAGCCGCTGTCGCGGCCTCGGCAGATTGCGCCTCTTCGTGAGAACGGGATGAGCCATCATCCGCGTACCCCGAGTCCTCGGAATGGCTTTGCACCTCCTGGTGGGGGTGCTCGTAGGTGATTCCTACCGGGTTGCCGTAGCTATCCTTCAGGTCAGTCTTGCTCTGCTCGTGGACCTGCAGGTCCAGTTCATTTATGGAGTTCCCAAGAGACGCCGTCAGGAAGTTGGACACCGGGTGGTGAATGGGAGTATCATAAGGGATGATCCCCGAGGTGGAGAAATCCAGGGCGGGTAAAGAGAAGGCCGTCAGTTCTGGAGCACCGCCCTTCTGAAATCCGCAGTCGTGGATGGGGTCCGTGGACAACGGGGCCCCATAGGTGGTCGTCAGGGCGTTGCCATGAAGCCCGTCGTAGAGATTCCCAGTACCCAGGCCAGCGGTATTGACGAATCCTCCGATAGGTCCGAAATTCGGGGCGCCATAGGTCAAAGTAGGTGCAGGGGCATTGAAATCTGTGAAAGACAACGGAGTCCCATAGTTGACGTTAGGGGCAGCCAGAGCAGCCCCGAGTCCGTGACCAAAATGTCCACTTCCAGAGAAGGAGTGCGAGTTCCTGAACGGAACAGCCGCGCCCAGGGCCGGAAGTCGTTGCTCATAGCTCGGAGGAGGTCCATAGTTCTTGCTGGGAGGGCCGGGAGCGGTAACTGGTACCGGAGGAAGGTACCTGTTCACGGAGAACAGAAGTCCTGCAGGGACTGACTCCTTGAACTTGATAGGCGCCCTGTTTTTGGGGGGTATCAGGGATTCCGGAAGTAACGGCGGTCCGCGGGGTCCACTGCGTAAAGGATGCCTCTGCGGGGACCGATGATGCCCCCCGAAATCACCCCCAAAGAACCCTAGTCCAAACGAAGCCGAGGAGTACTTGGACCCTCCCCTGGGTCCTTGGGAAGGTGGGTAAGGCCCGTTGAAGGCAAAGGACGACAGAGGTGGTGCTCCATACGAATCAGTCGGTGGTGGTGGAGGCGGCAGATCGAGTTCACCCAAGGATCCGTGTCCTCCGAGGGCCGATCCCCCGGAGATGGCCCCAGCTCCCAAATCGAGGGCTACAGCACCTCCGTCCAGGGACCCACCGTGATGGGACCCACCGACTTCCGGTGCCAGCTCGAACCCTACAGTCTTGACGATGGACAGAGACTCGCCACTGGGTGGACCGTAGTTGCTGTCAAGGGGTCCATACTTATTATCCGGGATCCCATACTGATCATCGGGTGGCCCGTACTGCGCGGTCGGCTTATTGTGACCAGCGTGTTGATCACCCGACGAGGCGTAATTATCATGTAAAGGTTCGAACTGGGGCAGCAGGGGTGGCGGAAGTCCATTGTTGTCATCGGACGATGACTGATGAACCGACGACTTGAGGTGCTGCGCCTCGGGATTATGGATGGGCACGCCGTACGAGTCGCTGGGAATGTTTGACTTGGAAGACGTATCGTGTCCATCGGGTGTTCCTACCAGTCCGGCTATCGGCTGCCATCCATCATATTTAATATCGGGAGGCGTAGGAGGCGCGGGAACTCCGGGGGGCGGCGGAGGAGGTCCATATTGGTGTCTAGGCGGAGGAGGTCCATATTGATGCTGGGGTGCGATCCCATGAGGAGGAGGCGGGGGAGGGCCGTAGTCGTCTTGGGGTTTGGCGTCGAAGGAGGCGACTAGTCCATCCAGAGGGGGGCCGTAGGCCTCCAACGACAACGGGATCGGGGGGCCGTGTCCAGGCTTGATCACCTTTGGGAGTCCATATTGAGTCTGAGGCTGCAGAGCGAACACCGGGGGCGGCGGCGGCGGCAACGGAGGCGGCGGTCCGTACTGCGGTTTCGGGGGTCCGTATTGCGGCTTGGGAGGGCCGAAGGGCAACGAAGGCGGTCCGTAACGGATCTTCGGGGGTCCATAGCTCGTCTTCAAGGGTGGCGAACCGTGGAACCTCTTCGGGGGTCCGTACCACGGCTTTGGCTTACGTGGCGGCCCATAAGTCGCCGCGGGGGGTCCATACACCGGCGGGGGCACGTCGGGCGGCGGGGGCGGATATATCGGCGGGGGCCGGACGTCTCCCGTCTTCTCCGGAGGCCCGTAAACCGGAGGTGAACCATTCGCCACGGAAACGAGGTCGTCCGTGCTAAAGGGAGGTCCGTAGCTGTCGCCTATCTTGTCCCTCGCGTCTCCGTCCTTCTTTACGGCGCCATCTTTCTCCGACTTCAAAGGCGCCTCGTTCACCACCGCCCCCGCTGGTCGCCATGCCGAGGTGCACAGGATCGCGACCAGGACTGTCGCGGCCACCTGGAACCAAAATTCAAAGTGTCACCTCCTCGCCTGTGCCTTTTCCTGGATAGGGAGATAGAGAGAGAGTGAGAGAGAACTTGAACACGCGTCGGGACGCACGAGGGGGAAAATCGAGCATCGAAAAAGACGGGCCCTCCTGATTGCGGCGGATGGGAGAGAAGGAAAAAAAAAGTGAAACGCAAGGAATCGAGGCCACCGACAATCACCGCTCGTGTTTTGCCGTTTTGCGTTCGAGAGGACAATTGCACCGAATCGGGATGGCGCCGAGAGAAACCGCTTCCGCAGGTTTCCTCTCTTCTCGACGTTCGACCCGTGGCCGTGGATTTCCGCGCGTCCGGCCTTCACGGAACCGTCCGTCTTCCGTCTTCTCGCGGCCCTCGAAAACTAAGCGCGGGAACGGCGACGCTTAAGTGGCACGACGGCCGGGATACAAACCTAACGTAATGAACCGTACTTTCTCTCGACCGCCACGAGAAATGCCGGCACTCGTGGCCTCCGACGAACTCCCGAAGAACGCGACCGGCGTTCCCTCAAAAAAGGGAAGAAGGAAGAAAGGAACGCCAAGAAGAAAAAACCATCGCCAGACCCAGAGCGATGGCAGGACTCGAGTCTCTCTCGTCCCCTTTTTCTTCCCATCCGCAATCATGCTCGACACCGCGCCGGTTGCTCCGCAATTCACGGATGAACTGTCGCCATTTGCGTTTCTCTGGGTGGAGGAAAGGATCGAATATGGTGTACGTAGTCGAGGGTATCTCCGGGGTCCCGAATCGCGGCCGATTAAGCGAGTCCACGTCGGCTGGGGGAAATCAGGAAAGACTCATTCATGAATTGTTCGAATCCCGCAGCCGCATTCCGCCGGCGGTTCTCTTTGAGTTTCCTCGTCGGGGCGTTTCATCGCGATGGGGCGAAAGCGAAATTACCCGGGTCTATGGTGCAACGGTTTCACCTCTCCTCTCTCTCTTTCCGGAGTGGGAATAAATTTCCTCGGTGCGCTTGATATCGGCCGGTTCGCGTGTCGCGCCGTTATTCGCCTCGACCGACCTTCGGGCGCGCGTGAGTGCGAGCGAGAGGGAGCGAGGCGGCGGCGCGGCGGAGCGAGAGAGACGCGACGACCGGCGGCGCGCGGCCTGACCGGGTCAACTGCCTTCGCTCATACATAGTCATGCGATAATCGCGGGCCACGCGTGCAAGACCTGCTCCTTGGCGTGCGCCCATTGCGGGAGCGGACCTGCCGGAGGATTCCGCCGGGATTTCCGCAGGCTCGACGAAATAATCGCACTTTCAGGGGATTTCATTCATGCACTCGGGCCCGACTAGGACGGATTTCGAGCCTCTACTCCACTCGTTCGGCCCACCTACCTTGAACCTGGTCATGGCGCACATGTCTCTTCGTTCACTACACGAGTCTGCCCTCCTGTTCGGGTCACCACTCCGCGAGAATCGCGACTATTTGCCTCGACGCCGAGGTCAAAAGTCAGGGAAAGGAGGCTCTCAAAGTCGGAGTCCACCGAACACCGGGTTCACCATCCCTCGACAGGCATTCGCGTAGGCCGCCAGGAGGGGCCCTCTCGTTTCGGGGGTCACTTAAAAAATGGGCAGTCTCGAGAGAGGGCCCCACTTATATAGACTCCGAGGTGCTCTCTCCAAAGAGTCTCCGGGTGGCCGATGAGTTCGAGCCCGAGCTCGAGCCGGGGGGATGGCTCGGCCCCGGAGGAGGGATGGACCCGGAGAGAGAGAGAAAGACCAGGGACCGCCGGGAGGGAGGGGGACGGTGACCCCGAGAAGAGGGAATCCTCACGCGTCGCTTAAAAATTCCGTTTGCGGAGAAAGTAGGCTAGCTCCTCTTCCACGGGCCGAGAGGACCACGAGGTTCGGAGATGAGCTCGGAGCTCTCGAGATGGCTAAGGGTCCACGATACACCCGAGAAGGCGCTCGAGAGGAAACGCACGAGAAGGGTCGAGGGGGACGTCGGTCAAATTTTTGTAAACCCTATCCATGCGCGAGTAAAGAAAAAAAAATGGATTCTCTGTCACCGAGAAGTCCATTCTTGTCTGGAATAGAGGTATAAGATAGACAGGAGTCTGCGGCATCCTCGTATCCGAGGATATTCCCCCAGATATCGGGAAGGAGATTAAAAGGAAACGCACGCGAAGTGTCGAGGGGGGCCAAGGAGAACGTCGATCATATTTTTATAAACCCTGTCCATGCACAAGAAAACAATAAAAATTAGTTTCCGTCACCAAGAAGCCCCTGTCTGAGCTCGAGGTCCAGGGAGACAGGAGTCTGCGGCATCCTCGCATCCGAGGATATTCCCCCAGATATCGGGAAGGAGCTTAAAAGGAAACGCACCCGAAGAGTCGAGGGGGACCAAGGAGAACGTTGATCATATTTTTATAAACCCTGTCCATGCACAAGTAAACAATAAAAATTAATTCCCTTCACCAAGAAGCCCCTGTCTCAGCTCGAGGTCCAGGGAGACAGGAGTCTGCGGCATCCTCGTATCCGAGGATATTCCCCCAGATATCGAGAAGGAGATTAAAAGGAAACGCACCCGAAGAGTCGAGGGGAACCAAGGAGAACGTCGATCATATTTTTATAAACCCTGTCCATGCACAAGAAAACAATAAAAATTAGTTCCCGTCACCAAGAAGCCCTTGTCTCAGCTCGAGGTCCAGGGAGACAGGAGTCTGCGGCATCCTCGTATCCAAGGGACCTTCACCCAGATATCGAGGTGCATCTAAAAACGCTTTCCTATCACCTCACGTGTTGCAAGAAGCTCCAACCCGAGGATGGTCGCAGGCACCGTCACTCTACTTAATCCGGCAAGAAGCGCGATTCTTGGGAAACAACGATCGACCATTAGATAGAAAATTGCGCAGAAACGAGTAGACGTGGGATAAGACCCCGAAGAGGCGCTTCTTAGCGCCGGAGAACGCCATTGTCTAACCGGGTAGAGTGGAGACCGTAAAGTCTAGCTCCAGGAAGAAGACGAGATCTCCCAAAAGGTCTCAACCTCCTCGACCTCGGAGGAACGTCGAGTCGGTTCCCTGGCAAAGCCTGACCGAGGTCAGTGACGTCGGATCCAGGTAAATGGTGTCCCCTGAATGCAGCCAGAGTCGCTCCAATTAGTCTCCTACCTCGGAGCTCGATTCTCCAGAAATTCGAGGATCAACCGAGCAACGACCGAGCATTGTGCGGCATACCCAGGTCCAGGTTAAAAAATGCCCCCTTATTTCCGTCTCGGGACTTGGTTAACTAATTTGGAGCGACCCGGGAGGAAGCTCGCTCGAACGAAGACCGAGATCGGGATTTAATTTCATTTCGGAGCGATTAAGAGCCCATCTCTGGTATCGGGAGGGACATGGCTAGAGCGGACCATGCCAAGTAGTTAAACGTGCCAAACATGCGTGCCGACTGGCTCGGAAATGTGCCAAAACTCGGACGAGGGGCATCGGCTCGCGTTCTCGCCGCTCTCTTTTATTCGAAAGCATCCTGGCAGAATCTTTGCGGTTAAGCGAGTCATCCTAAACCGAATTACGCCGGGGGATGTATGTGGGCCGCCCTCCAAAAGGGGTTTTCAAAGTCCACCCTAGCGGAATCTTCACCCCACCGGGAGCGTGAACTCTTCCTCCCCCGATCGGCGCCGACGAGGATGCTCCACTCTGCGTTTCCGAGGTTGCCTTTAATTCCTTTTAAGCGCCAGGATTGCGCAATTTGACCATATCGACTCCTGGGGCAAGACGACTGTTATTAACCATCAACGGTTTCCTCGTAAGAACCGCTCGTCTGGACCAAACGATACAGAGGCCAGTCATCGCGTCCGTTCGGGACTTCTTAGGAAGCTTGAGAAGGATATATAAATGGTACACGGACCATCTATCCACGAGTCGAGACCCTTTTTGCGAGTCCATTCGCCATTCCTTAACGACGGCTAAGAGGCGGCCGAGGTGGACGAGCGCAATGGTAATGCATCACGAGAGGACTCGGCAGACGGTGTTTCTTTGGCTAATTGGGCTCCATCGGTCATGGCCGGCATTATTGGCCATTGGACGAGCGGTAGATGGAGCGTCCACGATTCCGGGGAACCGCGTCCCAGACGAGGTAACTCGACGTCCGGAAGCGGAAATCGCTCGTGGGCGTGACGTCACGAGAGCCGCGGGAAAGTTCCTAACCAAGCGTGGAGCTTTTTGCCCAGGACGACCCGCCGCACCCTGGAGTAAGACGGAGGTCGGCGTCGTCCTTGTCGACGTTTTGCCCCGTTCCCAGGGTGCGCGTAAAGCCTGGTGATCGAAACTCCTGGCCAGAGGAATTCATCCCAGGAGTCCTCGGTGAGGATCGATCGCGCTTTTAGATTAATCCCCAGGTCGTGTTTACCGATTCTTTGAACCCCAGGATGTCGAAAGTCCCGGATGACCATTTGTCACCAGGGCGGCCTGCGGAGATGGTCAAAGGCCTCGGGTGGTGGGCGGCGTTCTCCAGGGCTCCTTTCGGGATTCCTGGGGATCCCAGACTCGGGCCAAGGTGAACGATCCTCGAAAGGCCGAGGCCGATGGTTTTTAGGGTCATGGAGATCGGAATGCGTCGCAGGTGCGGCATCATCCGGAGACGCGTGCTCCTCGAGACTTTCTTCTTTCCTTCCGAGTCCTCTCTCTTTCTCCATGACCGTCCGTCTCCGTCCGGCTCCGGTCACGCGCACCTTTGGAGAAATCTTTAACGTCGAAACCCTCGTCTCTCCTCTCCTCCTACGGTGCATACCCTTGTAAGTGCCCGTCGCATACCGATGCACCCGTCCTGCCACCAGGCGTCACCCGGGTGACAAACCGTGCGCCGACCTTAATCCTGGCGCGACACCTCCGCGAGAAATCATCCGCAAAACTCGGAAAGACGATCCACCTTCTACAGTCCTACAGTTCATTCGGGCAACTTTCGCCCGCGAACTTGACAATTTCCTGTACCACTTTCAAGCGTTCACCAAGTACGGGACTTCGCAAAGATGGGTAATTTTCCATGCGTATCGGTTCGTAGGCAACAAATTTTTGCATCGTTTCAAAGTCCCGTCATTTCACCAAGTACGGGACTTTGCAACGATGGGAAATTTTTCCTGCGTGTCTATTTACGAATAGACTTTGGAACGATGCAAAAATTTCTTGTATACGTGCAAATTCCAAAGTCACATCGTTTCACCAATTACGGGGACTTTGCAACGATGGGAGATTTTTTCCTGCGTAGCTATTCGTAGGCAAGAAATTTTTGCATCGTTCCAAAGTCGCGTCATTTCACCAACTAGGGGACATTACAACGATGGGAGATGTTTCATGCGTATCTATTCGTACGCAAGAAATCTTTGCATCGTTCCAAAGTCGCGTCATTTCACCAATTACGGAACTTTGCAACGACGGGAATTTTTCCTGCGCATCTATCCGTACGCAAGAAATTTTGTCAATTTCATCAATTACGAGACTTTGCAACGATGGGAAATTCTTCCTACGCATCTATTCGTACGCAAGAAATTTTGTCATCGTTCCAAAGTCGCGTCATTTCACCAATTACGGAACTTTGCAACGATGGGAAATTTTCCATACGTACCTATTGGTATGGAAAAAAAATGTTGCATCGTTGCAAAGTCCCGTAATTGGTGAACGTTTGGAAGTCGTGCACGAAACTGTGAATTTCACGGGCGAAAGTAGACAGCGCGAACTCGAGAATCGGTTCCCCTTTTCCCAAAAGAACGACCGTTTCCAGATTTCTTTGGGATAAGAAATCGGGTAAAACCTCGTCAATGGGACGTGCATCCTCCTTTGATCGCGGCCCATTGTCCGGGGAACCCATCAACCCGAACGACCACGACCAGAGAATTTTCGTACCTCGGGAGTTTCATAGAAAAGCCACATACGTGGAACGAGGTACGCGCGTCCACGAGGAGGATGGACGCGTGTCCAGGGTATGAGTCTTACATAGAGGCAACCCGAGACGCGTGGACAATGCAACCATGGGAATCCGGTGCATTCGGAGGTGCCTACGAGAGGCGAATCGCACCTGCCGTTCCGGGAGGCCCATGATGTCGCAAGTCCTCCCAGAAAGGAGGAAGAGACTCGACGCAATCCCCTCGAACGACTCCCTGTCTCTCTCGATCCGCTCCTAGCCGCATCGGCTCTCTCTCTCGCGACTAGAATGCTAATTACCGGGATGCAGTTGCATCGCTTCGAGTACCGATCCAGGCAAGGCGACGCATCCCGGAACTGGATGCGCCATTCCGCCCCTGTGGCTGCGGATCCGCGAACGGGTTTCCGCACGAGGTTTAACTCGACTGGTCTTGGCAGTTCCACGTCGGGGTTTCAATTACCTGGGCTGTCGCCTCGAGTAACTCATTGCGTAATTGTCCG